TGCGAGGGTCGGTGGAGGCTGAGTGCAGGTTGGGGGGTATTGTGGGCAGAAGCGACTTACTGGAGTGACTTGTGATCTTCCCTGCTGGCTTCCCCATTGACTTTGCTTGTGGGAAGTCGGCAAGGAAGGTTGCAAATGACAATGACGTGACCGTGTCTCCCTGCAATATCATAATTATGAGCCAGGCACCCAAGAGGGGTGCTGCGATAGTTGGATCTTCGGGGACTGTTCGCACTTCCATTTTTTCAGCGCTGCCATAACTTTGAATGGTTGCTGAATGAATGGACATAAGCCAAGGACTACCTTTAACATTTTAGGGGGAAAAAAAACTTTTGTTAATATATGTAAGAAATATCAGCATTCACTTTCCCCTATGCCAGCAATTATTATTGGATACCAACATACTAATTGGATACCAAAAGCATCTGCCCCCAAACAGATTGAAACACATGAAACCAGGGAACCCCTTTGTAAATAAAGAAATAAAATCTGCTGAACGTTGCAGTGAATGCATTTATTTCCTTTCCTGTTTTCTGCTTCTGCTACCTATCCACCATGTGCTCTGCTCCTTGTTACTTAGAGCTTGAGGAATCCCAACAGAAGTGTCCTCCTTGCTGGAAACATTTTGCAGTAAAATTTCTCATATGGGATTGTTGCCCACTATGGCTCTTGGTCAAGGAGAAAGTCAAGTTCATCATTATGGATCCTTTCAGCGACCTCACAATCACCCTTTGCATTGTGATGAACACACTCTTCATGGCCATGGACCACTACAAGATGACCAAAGAATTTGAGGAGGTGCTCAACATTGGGAATCTGGTATGTAGTCATACTTCATGTGTCTTGCTGCCTTCCTCCAACTGGTAGCCTTCAGATACGTTTGGACCACGTCTCCCAGAATTATTTATAATTATTCTCTGGGAATTACAATCTCAGTGTATCTGGCTGGGAAAGGTGTCATAATGAACAATTCATTCCAACAGGAAGATAAACAAAGTGACATGATGGGGCAGATCAAGGGCCTATCTAGCCCAGCTGCCTATATTTAACAATGGTCAGTCATATGACTGGAAAGTTCAGAAGTGGAACTAAAAGCCATTATTTTGTCTTCTTATTTGTCACCTCTGTTCACAGTGCACAGATTTATTTATTAATTTATATTTATTATTAATTTTATATGGCTGCCCATCTCACTACTGTACTGTGACCCTGGGCAGGTTACAAGGTTAAAAATCCAAACAAAAAAAAACCCAGTACAAAAACAACCAAAAACAAACAAACAAAAAAACCCCACAGAAATCATTAAAAACATCAAAGAATAAAACTGTTTAAAACCATAAAACCATCCTATTGGTTTTATGCTGTTAGCATTGCTATTAGCAAGATGCTATTAGCTTTGTTCAGGTCATTCCTTTTAGGAGAAAAAGAGAAAGAAAGAAAGAAAGAAAGAAAGAAAGAAAGAAAGAAAGAAAGAAAGAAAGAAAGAAAGAAAGAAAGGGCTGAAAT